TACACATATGCATCAGAATGTACTACACATATGCATCAGGATGTACTGCACATCGGTTTCAGCTTGAAGTCTTGATAGAAACAGATGGAAGTTAAAGAGGAAGCTCATGTTGTTCAGAACCAGAACCACAGGCTGAATCGTTATATTTCTTTTGAGACAATAACGATAGAACCATGCCGGTTTAAAGCCGTTCTTATAGTTTTAATGACTGCACTGATACAAGGAAGATCTTATAGAAGTAAACACCTGCTTGCCTCTGTTGCAGGTTTGGTACATGGATGGTTATCACAATAATCGCTTTGTGAGGGAGTACCAGTCGATGTACGACTTCATGACAACAGATAACTTCACGTCTCATCGCCTGCCTCACCCATGGTCTGGCACCGGTCAAGTCATTTATAACGGATCGATTTACTTTAACAAGTTTCAGAGTCACACCATCATCAAATTTGACTTCAGCACGTCGCTCATCAGCCGCTCCCGACAGCTCGACTTCGCCGGTTACAACAACATGTACCATTACTCGTGGGGCGGCCACTCGGACATCGACCTCATGGTGGATGAAGGCGGACTCTGGGCCGTGTACGCCACCAACCAGAACGCTGGCAACATCGTACTCAGCAAGCTAAACCCCGACACCCTGCAGACCGTTCGCAGCTGGACCACCAACCATCCAAAACGCAGCGCTGGTGAGTCCTTCATGATCTGTGGAACTTTGTACGTCACCAACGGCTACTCAGGAGGAACCAAAGTGTACTACGCCTACTCCACCAACTCCTCCACCTACGAGTACATTGATATTCCTCTGACCAACAAATACAGCCACCTCTCCATGCTCGACTACAACCCGAGAGACCGAGCGCTCTACGCCTGGAACAATGGCCACCAAGTCCTTTATAACGTTACACTTTATCACATAATTCAGTAAGCTGGACCATATTTCACATAAATGTTCGTCTAATGTGGGACATAATCTCATAGAACAGATTAAACACGGTTTCGACACGCATTTCACTTGTAAGACGATTTATCAGGTAATTTCTGTATATTCAGGGCAAAGAGACATATTCAGCAAAAACATTTAAAACTGTTCGAAGCATCTAAAGAAAACCCAAAGTAGAGATCACTACTTTCACGTTCACTCTTCGAAACCTTACTGAGACGTCGTTATCATAAAACCGCTGTGAACAATCTTTCATTTGAGGTCTTGTTGTCTTGGTGATCATTTATAAAATTACATTAAATTAATTTTGAATCACCAAAACAAAGGAAGGAGTCGTTTTTACTCACGCTGGCGGCTGAATTTACCCAAAGCTCCCAGTATTAGAACAAAGCAAAGGTGGAGATTTCAGACGTTGCAGCACTTGACTGTTAATTTTAGCAGCTCCGCTCATTTTTAATAATTAAATAGAAATTATTTGAGGAGCAGTGATTTTTATGTAAATGACTATGATATTTATTAATATTTGCCTTCTGAAATCAGACTTTATAATAATGTTTTAATATTTGTCAGCTCTGGCTTGTTTGAGTTTTTCGCAGCTTTTAAAGGAATTTGATGAAACTGGATGTATGATATCTTGATGCATGCTCATGGATGTATGATCATTACAGGAGGCTGCACATGGGATCAGCATTTTGTGCTGCATCCATTCTAACTGCTCCTTTAAATTACATTTATCTTAAAATTAAATTAAGTCTTCAATTGCGTAATAAAGACAACACAGATGTCTGAATTATTTATTCCTTGGTGATAACAACAACTAAATAAATTCTCAAGCAGCTTTAAGTTAAATGTATTTTTGCTCCTTCAGGCCTGTAGTGCTCCTCTGACTGAACGATATTCTGCTAAAGATGTGCCATTAAGGTCATAATAATTTAAAATAAATTAATGAAACATATTTATAATCAGTGTTTTCGGTAAAATAATTCCAGTTTAAAAATCGAGATGTCTCCTCAGATGGGTTTTTGACGTAAGCGCGTTAGGGTTGAGTCGGTCTGAATTCACAAAAGCTGAGCTCCTGCTCCTTCTTGTGCTTTAAACAAGAAATATATTTGTAATCACAAAAGTTTGTATCTACAATAATAATAATTTTAAAAAGTGTCTATTTGTGGTGGTGGTAGTGTGGTGAGGTTCTGGTTAGTCAGTATCTTACCTGCAGCAGAAAAAAGTCTGAACAGTTCTGGTTTAAAGAGTGAAGGAGAAAATCTCGTGAAGTGGTCGAAATAAAAATTCTGACTGAAAAAGAAAAGACACCGACTCCTCGGGACAACAACAAATTAAAAACTACAACCGAACAATAACTTTCTCCAAATGTCTGCAGTTGACCATAAAAATTCAGCTTAAAAATTATAATCTGAAATACACACGAACGTTCTCGTAAACGTACTTGTTGGGGACTTTGCATTGTCAAGTCAAGTCAGATTTATTTATAGAGCACATTTAAAACAGAAACTGTTACCAAAGTGCTCAACAGAAAGATCGCAGCATCAAATAAAAAGTAACAGGATATGATTACAGCACATGGAATAAAAACACAAAGACACAAAACGTAATTAGAACCAATGGAATATTAAATCAGATCAGGTGACCGTGTGTTAAACAGGAATAAAAGCACAATCAGAATCATCCATCCATCCATTTTCTTTACCCGTTTGTTCCATTTTGGGTCACGGGGGTCGCTGGTGCCCATGTCCAGCAATCACTGTGCGAGGGGCGGGGGACACCCTGGACGGGTCGCAAGTCCATCACAGGGCCACATAGAGACAAACGAGACAAACAACCATTCACTCTCTCACTCACACCTAGGGACAATTTAGAGTTACCAATCAGCCTAACATGCATGTTTTTGGTCTGTGGGAGGAAACCGGAGCACCCGGAGAAAACCCACGCATGCACGGAGAGAACATGCAAACTCCACCCAGAAAGGCCCCCGGACCGGGGTTTGAACCAGGGACCTTCTCACTGAGAGGCAGCAGCTCTACCAGTTGCGCCACCGTGCTGCCCACAATCAGAATCAATGAAAACTAAATCTAAATCGAATCAGCCTCTGTTAAATGTCAATGAGGACAGATGTGACTTCCATTCATTTTCTATAACATAACCCATCCTGAATCCACACCTTAGTCCTAACCCCTAATCCACCAACGTCACTTCTCCTTATGGGGTCCGGGCTTTGGGCCCCATAAGGAGCAGTTGGTCCTCACAGTGTAGCATAAGTTGGAAAAATGGGCCTTACAAAGTAACATATACAAAGACACACACACACTCGGACTAGTGAGCGTCCGAGCCACGGTAAATCAGGAGGAAAGCTCCCGATGAAGAACTGATGAGTGAATCTCAGGCAGCAGCAGAAACCCAACGAGGAAGAGGAGGAGCCATCATGGAAAGATAAGCTCCTGCACGGCAGGTACCACCGGCTGATACCAATAAATCCTACGAGTGGCTTCAAAGGGCTGGACTGAAGGACTAATCATGGCAGCACAAGAACAGAACCAGAGCAATACAGACCAGGGCCTGCCAGACCGGACCAGACCAGACCAGACCAGACCGGACCAGACCAGACCAGACCAGACCAGACCGGACCAGACCAGACCAGACCGGACCAGACCAGACTCGAGCTGCAGGCTGTGCCTCTGAGACAGTCTTGCCTCCGGGGCAGATTGTCGACAGCTTGCTGCTCTGAAACCTCCGCGCCCTTCTAAAGGTCAGAGTTGTCCCTTGTCCCTAGATCCTACAGGACGTTTGACACAAGAAGACTTTACGTCCACACTTTTCACAGCAGCTGTCTCTGCTGGTGCCACTTTTAACTGTTGTCAGTCTGATACTTTTATACGTGGCTGCTCATTTTTAACGAGTTCGACCAGAACTAGTAAAACGTGTGATGTGCTCCTTCAGTCAACAACTGTTCATTGTTCATAGCTGCACTTTTCAACAGCCGTCCGTCCAATGAAACTTTAGAATCTGGTGACGTTTTTATTTGTGCAGAGATAAGTAAATAAATAAATCAATAAATGAATAAAAATGGCGTTAATGACAGTTCTCTTGTTTCTCCTGCCTCAGAAGTTCAGCATCGGCTGCCTCAGTAAACTAATTCAGCTGCCACGATTTCTGAATCGTATTTTTAATCGTTCGCTGAAGTTATTACTTTTAGTTCAACGGACCTGGAAGGGAAAACATCAGCAAGTATTCATAAATGTCTTCTACAAAAGAAACCGTCCAGATGACCTGACTGAACATCGTTGGATTATTACCTGGATTACTGAGCATGAGCTTTGATGTTTTGAATCACTTTGTTCTATGGCTGTCCCAGAGGAGTCGACGGGGGAGACGGCGGGCCCCAGAAACCATCTTATCTCCAGTAAACCGGTTGGTCCACTAGGGGAGTGTGCTGCTTGTGGGACTGAGTTTGTTGTGGCTCCTCCGACTGACGAAGTCCTTTGGATGAAGGATGAAACGTCTCAGCAAACAAAGAAACCGTCCAGAGGACCTGACTGAACTTTGTTGGGTCTTCTGCAGTTCTTAGTTCTCGTTTTCTTTTCAGTTTATTAATGTTATTAGGACTGTTTAGTAACCCAAATAATAGATTGTGCTTGTTTGACGTAAAGAAAGTTGAAGTCTAAATAAAATGTGATGAAAATCTAATTTGAGTTTCTCAATTAATTTGATTTGTACAGTAGAGGTTGGATTAAGATTAGATAGTTTGTCCCATCGTCTTTTTCTGCTTTGTATTGAGTCTTTTGGTGTTTGTGGTTTATGTTTTATTCAGTGTTCCCTGCGTCAGTTCTCACCTTCAGTCTGTCTCCCCAGTTGTTCTTCAGTCCCCCCCCCAAACCGTCTCCGGTCGTCCCCCCACCAGTGCTTCATCATCCTGGCACAGAGCCAGATGCCTCGCCCTTCTTGTGCTCCCTGGTTTTATATGTTGCTGCCACGCAGCTGTTTGTTGTGTTTCTTGAAATAAATAAGTTTATTTTATTTAATCTCATTGTGTGTCTGCCTGTATCTGGCTCCAACCCCTCCACCAAACCCTGATGGTTTGTTTTTTGCTGTTTCCCCACAGAGTCCCCACATTTTCTCTTTTTACAAGTTCCAGAACAAAACAAAAACCTCTTTTTGATTCAAACTGGATCAGGTCTACACACTGACTTCAAAAACTAAACTGACTTCGAGCTTGAGCTGTAAAAATAAATGATCCAACATTTTTCAGTCAGGTCATCTGGACAGTTCCTTTTTTTGTGCTGAAACGTTTCACCTTCGATCCAGAAGGCTTCATCAGTCAAGGAAACACACAACAAAACTGATTCTTCTTCCAACAGCTTACTCCAAAGTGGAACAAACCAGTTATGCTGGTGCTAAAAAGAAACTGTCCAGATCACCTGACTGAAAAATGTTGGATTGTATACCTGGATTATTGAGCATGGACTTTGTTGTTTTCAACCAGTTTGACACGACTGTCAACAAGGAAGAGGGCCGTCAATGGAGGAGGGGGCGTGCCAAAGACACCATCTTAGCACCAGCATAACTGGTTTGTTCCACTTTGGAGTAAGCTGTTACTGTGAACAGGTTGACCAGCAAAGAAAGGCATATCTACATATTTTAATAAAAAAGTTAAATATATATACATATACAAGTAAAGTTTTGTTATGGTAAGTTAGTTGAAACTTTACAAATGTTAATTTTAAAACAATATTTTAATATTATTTAGTATCTAAAAGTAGTTAAACATTCTTCTTGTGTTGCAAGAGCACAGGTCACCCCTGCAAAAAAAAAAAAAAATTGGATCGTATGCATTTTTAAACAACATAGTTGTAATTTTAAACAGACAATTTTGAAGGAACTCTATCTAATAACTAAAGGGATTACTTATTAAATAAATAAGTGATTCCCATCAGCTAAATGACTTTATAGTCTATTTATAAACCTTGGTATTTTTGTGGAGAAGCCTTTGGAAAAAAAGGTTTGTAGGCTCATCCAAGTAGATAACAAAAAAATAATTTCATCTGGACTAAGTCTTTGGAAAGTGTCTCCATTTGATTAATTCTACTATATTTTTCCAGCAGGTGGCAACAATTTATTTTTGTAGTTCCTCATTTGTCCAGCAGGTGGCAGCCTTGCACTGCATATTATTGTTGTAGTTCATCACTTGTCCGGCAGGTGGCAGCCTTGCGCTGCATATTATTGTTGTA